GGAAGATGAAGTTATTACTCATAAGACAACATAGATATTTTGATATTAAGGATCTCTAATTTAATTCCCATGATAATGCGGGTTATCACTAGTGGTTACTCTCGACCAAAGTAATTATTTTTCAGTCATTGGAATTCAATCGTCAAAATCAATAAAAAGACCATCATGAACATCGAGATCCAGATTAATTTATATTGTTGGGAGGTACCCAAGAAAGAAAAATGTTACTTTTGGATCACAAATAACAGATAAAATGGCAATAAGATAAAATCTAATTAATTAGAGCGACTTTTGTCTAGGCTCAAGGCGAGCACCAAGAATTTTGCCTTTTCAAACATTGAGTACAAAAGATTTATGTCAATTTTTTCGGTCGATATTATAGATCGATTTTTCATTTTTTTTTAGTAGTTAGAGTACCTGTGACTTCAATGTATGCAAACACACAAACTTTATATATATTTCTGTTACGTACTCTAAATATAGAGATATGTAGTTGGAATTAAATGTCATAAAACTAACACTTGAGGGCATTAATTAACAATTCCAAAACTATATATATCCATTAGTTAAAGATACCTTCCAATTCTGTTAGTTTTTATAGAACAGAAGTAACCCCACATAAGTTGTTATTCTTTTAGTGATGAAAGCATTTTGTATAATGGACCCAACATTCCAACTCAACTGATTATGACATCACATAATGGACTTCATTCAAGGCGGATATAATATATAATCAACTAAATTTGGGGAAATACACAAACAGTCATTTTTACGATTGTTATTTATGATTTAGTCGGTACTTATTTTGTCCTGAAAAATTAAACTGAAAAAACTGAAATTCAGAACATGTTGGCTAATTTCTAAATAACAACCATGTAGAATGGTTATGTGGTATCATTTTTACACTAATCTTTCAATTAATTGAAACTTAAGTATACTTAGCGAAACATCACAAGGGAAAATATTGAAGTTTGTTAATATTTCAAGGACTAAAAGCCCAATCTTCCAAAAGTATTTGAAATTGATATCATTAGCCTAGGAGCACGTTAATAACTAATTAAAACAATCCATTTTATTTCTTTAATTTATTCCTATTCCAAGGCAAAAAACTATGCAATATCTTAATCAATCTCAAGAATAAAAATTAGCAATCGCAAAGTTTATACCTTTCCAAGGCAAATTTCATTTTTATTTCTTCCATTTTCAGTGTTTTGAATTCAACAAAGTTTCTTAAGTTAGGTAAAGAGAGTTAAAATTTCTTATTATGGGCAACATAACCTAAAAGTCACGTAGGAATTTAACTCTCAATTGTACTATTTTATACCTTAAGGTAAACATACGCGGGACAAAATATTCGTGGAAGCAATCAATGAATAGAGTTGATGTCAACTAACAAGACAGTTTGGAATCATAAAGAGAAAAGAAAAAAAGGAGACAATATGGGGAACAAATGACTTGATGTCCACCTCTATTGTTGAGGGTGGTCATATTATTTGAACAGTAGGTATGGTTTCAATTTAAATATATATATTACAACAACAACAAACAACAAAGTATAATTTTATTAGTGGGGTCTGGAAAGGATAGTGTGTATGCAGACTTTACCCCTATTCTGGGGTAGAGAGGCTGTTTCCGATAGACCCTCGGCTCCCTACCTCCAAGAACTCCCCACCTTGCTCTTGGGGTGACTCGACCTCATAATCTCTTGGTTGGAAGTGGAGGGTGCTCACCACTAGAGCAACCCACAAAATATATACATTGATCCTACAAAATGAAAGTATTGTAGTCTCACGAAGATTTTAATTTTCTAAATCTGAAAAAATAGAAGAATTAGAAGAAAGAAGAAGAAAACGATATGATGATAAATTAAGGGGGATAGTTTATTTGGATGATTGTTATTTATTGTATTGTATATTTGTATGTTACTTTATGTGAAATGCATAAGTAACCTCTTGAATTAAGGCTGGAGTTCTAACTACACACTTTATCTTTTGTTGTGGTCCTATTACCCCTTGAACTATTTAATAGTAGAATTATTAACCCCTAAATGTTGAGGTGGCATATATAGTGTGTTTTACTCTCTTTGAGAGAGTGAGAAGCAAAAAAAGTGGGGAAAAAAATTATTTTTGTAATTTTCTTTTACAATAAAAAAAATAACTCTTTTTGTTTTTCTTTTATTCTTTTCCGCCGAAGACCATGAACGCCGTTAACCTTCTCGGGGCAACTATTTTTCCTTTCTTTTATTTTCCTTCTAATCTTCTTCCTCTCACTCTCAACACCACATCCACGCTGTAACCACCACCTTCACCTTCCCCCACCAGGTGATAAGGCCCACATTTTTATTCTTCACTCATTTGATCTTCACCTCGGCACCACCACCTCAGTACCATCATCATTACCCAAACCCGGATCTTATCTCTCCAGCTTCCCACCGGAACATAGAAGTCACCGAAAAAATAAAATCAAAATCGGAACTCACAATCGGTAACAATAAATTCCCCGCCGATAAAAATGGAGTTCCTAGTATTTCAACATGAAACAAGCAATAGACCCACATACACAGACTCTAATCAAATTAGGATTGGATCAAAGAATGATCTTTATAAACAGTTGAAAATTTTGAACGTGAAGAAAGAATGAAAAAGAAATTAAAAAAGTGTAATAGGATAAAAAGAAAGAGAAAAAAAGGAAAAGAAAGAGTAACAAAATTCAAAAATTACGAAATAGACACACGGCAGCGCGTGTATTTCACTGCCTGCCAAGAATTTGGTTATCCAGTTTCAGGGTGATATTTATTCCGTTTTAAAAAAGCTCATGGGGTGATAGGACACCCGCAAAAATAAGGTGTGTAGTTGAAACTTCGGCTTTAGGTCAAGGGAATACTTATGCGTTTTCCCTTACTTTAAAATACAATGTTTGTTTTGATTGTTACTTAAATTTTATTATATTGTATCGTAATATTCATCGTTACGTAACAACGAAAAGTGTCACTTTATGAAACGATGGATTTCGTATGGTGGCGGCGTTTTCTTGTTTTTTTTCTCTCATCTTACCTTTCCTTATTATTTAATAATCATATTTTATCTTTTACCCTACTTTTTTTATATAATAATTCTGCTATGTATTCTATTTTTTCTTAGTAATGTTATAAGTTTATTCTTCATATTGTTGGTGTGTAGCAAATGAAGCGATGTCAAACGATACAATCCATCCAAATATTGTATTCATCAAACAATACAATATAATGCAGTACAATATAATACGATACATTATGAAAAGACATGTAACCACATTTTTAGAAGAGATGTTGTACTCTCACGAATTTAATAACTCTCTAAACTAGTGATCATTCCACCAACATCATGTATCAAGTCAACAATACAATTAGTTGAACGGTTTTGTATTAAAAAAAATAAATAAACACTAAATCTACACCTTAGTGATACAAAATAATAATTTATGAAGTAATATCATTCACCTACTGATTTAAAATTCCGGATTTGTCTATTTGTTACCTCGCTTTTAAGAACTCTTTTTTCTTTGCTCATCTCCCCTACCTTTGTGACACAAAATATTAATATGTTAACGTAGTATTCATTCATTATTAAAAATCCGAATTTGTCTCAATTTTTCAATAATTTTTAATTTAAAATTTTTCTCTCTATGACCTATAAGTCACGGGTTCGAGCCGTGAAATAATCACTAATACTTGAATTATAATAGGTTGTCTATATCACGTCTTTTGGGGTGCGACACTTCCCCGGACCTCACGTGAAGGTGAAATACTTTGTGTATCGGATCGTCATTTGGATTTGCCTCGATTTATTACAGTAATTTTTAATTTTAGAATTTATTAAAAGTTACCTTACTTTTAGGAAACATTTTCTTCGCCCATAACCCTTGGGGGGTTGGGGGGCGCAACGAAGCTGCCTCGAAATTAGAATATGCAAAATCACGGGTGATCACTTTAGTCCAATTCAGAAATCACAAGATACCATATAATAAAATAAAATAAAAAAAATCAAAATAATGCCAAAAATCCCACCCACCATAGCTCCAACAGAGGGGGAAAAAATATACATCTCCTATAATTACTCCACTAAAAAATAAACTATAATTCAAAACGAAGCAAAAGATAAACGTCGAACATCTCTTGTTTTTTCCGGCCTTTTATATATAGGCAACTACCACAGGATACGGAATTAAGCTATACACTAATGTGATTCAAAATTTAAATTAAATAAATTTAATCTTTAAATTTTCCCGCCAAACCTATTGTACTTATTAAAATTATGAGATCATAATATTTTTCAGTTGAATTATCGAGTTTATGTTGCATCTGTCTATAATGAAAAAAGATTTTTACGCTATTAGTATAATTTACTAGCAATAGCAAATTAGTATTCTATTTCACAAGTTATCATATTAGGTTTGTTATAAAATAATACCCGTTAAATGAAGCTATATACCGCGAATAGTACACAAAAATTAAACTCAATGTTAAGTTATTGAGTGGGAAATTACACTGTATTAGCTATTTTGGTAACAATTTGTGAATAGTGAATCCATCTTGGGATAAATATATATAGTAAATTAGTAATTACGAGCTTTTAGTTATCATAAATAATCCATTCTGTTTTATCTCTTTGTGCTGTGCATGTCCATATTTGAAAACAACTTTGTGAGAAAATCTTGGCACCATTTTCTGAGTTATTAACTTTGAACAACCTTCCAAAGATAAATAACACATCCGTGATTCTCTTCTGTCTATATCTCCTTATCTCCATTTTTAAAAAAATAATCATTTATCCTACATTTTTGTGTGTGTGTATATATNGTATGAATATTTTGATTTGTAGTGAAAGACAAATCATTCATTCTTAGCTTAAACTCCATTCTTTTTTTTTTTTGTCTTTTTCTTGAATTTTTATTTTACTTCTAAGTGGTTCCAAACTATGGTGTTAACATATTATTTGTACTTATGCTTTCTTATTTTAATGGGGTTTTGATTTTCTTGGTTTTTTCTGCTCACTGTGTTTTGGTTCCTTTTGCTTTCACTTGTGGCAAAAAATATCTAGCTGTGGATAATTTTTGTTATACAAGAAAAACAATTCTTGCCTTTCACGGGACTTTGGTATTTTGGTTGGTTCAATTGTCAACATTCTTTATTGATTGATTGCTATAAATTGGTGGGGTTGGTTTTGCTCTCTTATTATTCTACATAAAGATATGTTTTTTCCTTCCTTCTAATGTTCTTTGAAAAGTGCAATTTTTATTATATTTTGAGCTTAGAATGAGTTTTTCTTGAGAGTTTTCTATCAGTTTTAGTTCATAGGGGTTCATTATTTTGATCAAGATGAAGTCTTTAGTGTTCTTGAAAATGTTGGGGTTGGTGTTTTTTTCTATGTTATTTGGTGGTGTGATGTGTAAGGAGTGTACTAATATTCCTACTCAATTATCATCACATACACTAAGATATGAGTTATTATCATCAAAGAATGAATCTTGGAAAGAAGAGATGTATTCTCATTACCATTTGACTCCTACCGATGATTCGGCCTGGTCTAATTTGCTTCCAAGGAAAATGTTAAAGGAGGAGGAAGAATTTGACTGGGTAATGATGTATAGAAAGATAAAGAATTCTGGTGGTGTTAAAGGGATTGATGGTTTATTGAATGAGGTTTCACTTAATGATGTGAGATTGGAACCAAATTCAATACATGGAATAGCTCAGCAGACTAATTTGGAGTATTTGTTGCTGTTGGATGTTGATAGTTTGGTATGGAGTTTTAGGAAAACAGCTGGTTTGGAGACTCCTGGTCAACCATATGGAGGTTGGGAAGGTCCAAATGTTGAGCTTCGCGGTCATTTTGTTGGTTAGTCCTGTTTTATATTCAGTAATTTTTATTCATATAGTTGACTCATACTTGCTTGTGATTGAGGCATAGTTGTATTACTTATTCTCAACAACTGATCATGTGATCAGATACTTATTAGTTCAAGTTAATGTCACTATTTTCTGTCAATGTCCTAAAACTATGTTGCGCGGACTCTCCAAAATGCCATCGCACCCGTGTCGGACTTTCATCAAAAGTGCACTACTTTTGGAGGATCCGACACACACCCAGTGACATTTTCGGAGAGTCAGGGCAAAATATCCTGAAAGCAAGATTTTGTAGAATGACTTACAAGAATCTTTTTTCAACATGTTAAAGAATCACTCTTACTGACCTTTTGATTGCGGATTTTGAAAACAAATATGAAAAACTATCAATGTTTAGTACTGGATTAGTGACCAGAATACTGCAGTATGAAAAAACTATCAATGTTTTTGTTTTTCAGTATGTTTATTTTCTGATCATTTAAGATAAGGTTTCGGCAGTTGTACTTCATTCAATTATGTGCTTGTATCGGCGATATGATGTACTTATTGTACTGATGTTAAATGTTAACTTGAAAAGGGCATTACCTTAGCGCCTCGGCACAGATGTGGGCTAGCACTCATAATGACAGCCTCAAACAGAAAATGTCTGCTGTTGTTTCTGCACTTTCGGTTTGTCAAGAGAAAATGGGATCAGGTTATCTATCTGCTTTCCCTTCTGAACTTTTCGACCGTGTTGAAGCTATAAAACCAGTATGGGCGCCATACTATACAATACACAAGGTAAACTAGACTAAATTGCTAAAAGTTTTTGTCTCTACATCTGTTTTTGTTCTTAAATAAGTGACTTATTCCATTGGACTTGACAGATATTGGCAGGTCTCTTAGACCAGTATATGTTAGCTGGTAACGATCAAGCTTTAAAAATGACTACGTGGATGGCCGAATACTTCTACAACCGAGTGCAGAATGTGATATCAAAGTATACCATTGAACGACACTGGCGATCTTTAAATGAAGAAACTGGTGGCATGAATGATGTTCTTTATAAGTTATACAGTGTAACGGTATGTATAATATGTCGAATGAACTGTCTTACCTTTTCTTTATCCTTCTACTTTCTGTTGTATAATTTCAAGTCCAAATGAGCACAACAGAACTGATTGCTTATCCTGATTTAACTCTTTCTTTTAATGGTTTTGCAGGGCAATTCAAAGCATTTAGTGCTGGCTCACCTATTTGACAAACCTTGCTTTCTAGGGCTATTAGCTTTAAAGGTGGAAATCACACTTCTGCTCAAATTCTGATTCATTTGTTCATACTAAAATGTCGTTTCTTGTATTTATCCTCATTGCTTTATCTGTAATAGAACGTGTTACACTCAACTGATCATGGCAACAGGAAATTATAATGTATGATTCTTTTCTTTACCATTTTTGATGTCTTCTGTTGAAACAGGCTGATGATATATCTGGTTTTCATGCCAATACACACATCCCAGTTGTTATTGGATCTCAACTTCGTTATGAAATTACTGGAGATCCCCTATATAAGGTACATTGATTTGCTTTTCAAGTTGTTTGACAGGAATATCGATCTTTTTAAGTTATTGAACTTCGTTTGACAGGAAATTGGAACGTATTTTATGGATATCGTTAATACTTCCCACAGCTATGCAACTGGTGGGACATCAGTTGGTGAGTTTTGGTAAGTGCCAATATTAGAAATTTAACTTTATTGATGAATCAGTTTTATTTCATGTTTGTTCAAGTACACTTGTTATAAGCTCAAAATTAGCTCATCTTTAGCATTTTCGCTGATATCTTTCTTCTCTCGTACAATCCTGAACAGGTCAGATCCAAAGCGGTTGGCAAGCACATTACAAACTGAGAATGAGGAATCTTGTACAACCTACAACATGCTGAAGGTGCGCTATAAGATTTTGTGCCTTTGTTTTTCTCTCTTTTTCTACCTAGGGGGGAAAGAGGATACACCCCCGCTTCTGCCTCTATCAGGTGGCNATATTCTTTCTAGTCTCGTTTGCTTTCGAGAAAAGTTTAGTTATGAAAACTTTCATTGCTTCCTTTCTCGGAGAAATGAGAGAGGAAGGAACTAAAGTACTACTATTGCAGTTTATATTTGTTCATAGGCAATTCTGTAAGTGTATTTCTTTTCTTTTTTTAATATCTTTGTAGGTGTCCCGACACCTGTTCAGATGGACAAAAGAAATGGCATATGCTGATTATTATGAACGCGCATTAACAAATGGTGTACTCAGCATACAAAGGGGAAGAGATCCTGGTGTAATGATATATATGCTTCCTCTTCTTCGTGGTGGTTCCAAGGCTCGGAGCTACCACGGATGGGGAACACAGTTCGATTCCTTTTGGTGTTGCTATGGAACAGGTGTTGGAATCAATCCTCAACTTTTAATCCTTCCCCTTTTTTTCTGGCAAAGAAGTTATGTTCTCAAACTATAATGGTTGGTTTACCTTGTTTCCCTCTGTAGGAATTGAATCATTCTCCAAGTTGGGAGATTCTATATATTTCGAAGAGAAAGGGAGTTCGCCGAGCCTCTACATTATCCAGTATATACCTAGCTCTCTTGATTGGAAGTCTGGGCAGATATTGGTGAGTCAGAAAATCGAGCCTGTTGTTTCGTGGGATAATCGCCTCCAAGTGACAATTACCATATCTTCAAACGGGGTAAGCGTTCATTTTATCATGCTATATCTTCAGATTATTGCATTTATGTTTTTAACTTTTCTACTTGCTGACTAAATAGCATGTATCTATCATGCTTTTTACCTTGAGTACTGTCTTTTGCTATGTTGTGCGGTATCTCCAAAAATGTTGTTGCACCCATGTCGGATCCTCCAAAAATGCACTACTTCTGGAGGATCCGATACGCACCCAGTAACATTTTTTGCAGAGTCCGAGCAACATAAGTCTTTTGGAATAGTCAATAGATTATATCCTGTATAATTGTTTCTTTCAGCAGGCAACTGGTGCATCTTCAACACTGAACTTGAGAATACCAAGCTGGACACATTCAAGTGGCGCAAAGGCAACTTTAAATGGAAAGGATTTGTCTCTACCAACACCAGGTGTGACATTTTCTTTCATCTGATGCTGTTGCATTATCACCAAGTCATTTTCTTTACTTAGTTATCAGTCTTTTGTATAGTTGGTACTCCTGCCGTTCCACTTTGTTTGGTACTATTTCCTTATTAGTCCGTTCCAAAAAAGAATGACACATTTCAATATTTCCTTAATGGGAACTTTATATAGCCACACAGATGCTATGGCTTATTTAAGACCACAAGTTTTAAATGTCTTCATTTCTTTCTTAAACTTTTTGAGTTAAACTATGACAGACAAAGTGAAACGGAGAGAGTATCTTTTAAGGAAAAGTTTTAAGGTATTCTATGTCTACTCGTCGATGCAGGTAACTTCCTATCAATCACCAAAAAGTGGGGCCAAGGCGATAAAATCACTCTCGAGCTACCCATGAGTCTTAGAACCGAGGCCATTAAAGGTACTTCTTTAACTGTTTCTGATGTTCTATCAGTTTCTATGTACCTGCTTCGCGTGGAGAAGAGATCTCTCGATTTTGTAACAGCTAACGAATTCTTGTGTGATGTTTCAGATGATCGGCCTGAGTATGCATCCGTTCAGGCAATTCTCTACGGTCCATACCTTCTAGCTGGCCATTCTAGTGGTGATTGGGATATTGAAACAAAGTCAACCACTGTTCTTTCGGACGTGATAACTCCCATTCCAGCCGATTATAATTCTCAGTTAATATCTCTTATGCAAGAATCTGGTAATGCAACATATGTTCTTACAAACTCCAATCAGTCAATTCAAATGGAAAAGTTCCCTGAAGCTGGAACAGATGCTGCTGTTAGTGCTACATTCAGACTCATTTCACTTAACATGTCATCTGTTAAGCTTTCAGAACGAAAAGATTTCATCGGAAATCAAGTCATGTTAGAGCCCTTTGATTTCCCTGGAATGTTTATATCTCATCAAGGGCAAGAACAAAGTCTTGGGATCGCTGCCTCCTCGGATGAGGGTGGTTCTTTGTTCCGTTTGACTGTTGGATTGGACGGGAAAGACGATACAGTTTCTCTTGAGTCTGAATCACAGAAAGGCTGTTTCATTTATACTGGTGTGGGTTACAAATCCAGTTCAACTGTCAAGCTTAGCTGCAATTCAGAGTCCTCGGATGCTGGTTTCAAACAGGCAGCAAGCTTTAAATTGGGAAATGGCATTAGTGAATATCATCCTATTAGTTTTGTGGCAAAAGGGGCAAAGAGAAACTTTGTTTTGGCACCATTACTTAGCTTGAGAGATGAATCTTATACTGTGTATTTTAACATTCAATCATAGAGAGAGTGGTAGCCAGGGAAGTTACTGTTTGTTCCAGATGACAATAAAATCATATATGTTCAACTTCCAATATTATGTTTAGATAGGAGAAGCTGCTATGTATCTAGCCTATAATCATTAAAATTGCTTGTCTAGTATTTATTTTAGTCTTCAGTTTGAGAATCCTTAATTTCTCTTGAAAGAAGATTTTTGAATATTTGAACAGAAATGAATACAGAGTATTTCACACAGATGAACCAAACTTGTTTAGGATTGACGTGTAGTTGATCAATTGATTGATTGATGTGATGAAAACATGTCAAATAGGCATTTTGGAATTAGGACTATACTTTGTAGGCGTTTGGACATAAAAAATATGATTTTTTTTAAAAAAAATAGTATTTGAAATTAAGTTGAAAAATAGCATTTGTAATTTGAAATTATATTTGGACATGCATTTCCCTTAAAAAAAATATTGTAATTTTGTGACTGGGGAAAAAAGTTTTTTTTTTTTTTTTCCGAAAATCTCCAAAAAAACTTACAAATTTTCATGGACAAACATGATTTTGAAAAAACAAATTCCGGAAAAAAGGAGAAAAAAATCTATGGACAAACGAGGCTTTTCTTCTTCCATACAGAAATTTGAAATTTACTGTTAACTTGTGTGAACTACCAGAAATAACCAACATATGTAATACGAACAGCTCATCCAAGAACCACAGCTCGAAAATAATTTAAGAGTCAGTCGATTAAGCTGCAAATATATGCAGATAGAACCTTATGAATTAATCTTCAGCAATCAGCAGCCTTCAAAGAACTCAAGTTAAAATGTAAGAATAACCTCAATAGCTACTATTTCCGACAACCTTCGAATTTGAACTGCAAATCCTAGACTATGTATATTTCCTCCTTGAACTGCTTCTTCAAAGAATAAGAAAGATAGACTGCAATATACATGCAGAAAGCCTTAGTCGAAAATTCTCTCCCCTGTTGACAGTGCTAGAAAAACGAAAGAACTAAAAATGCAGAGCAACCCCGGAATGCAAAACACTGCTGTCCAGCTTTCTGGACTTGTGAGATCCAACTGAGCGTCTTTAGCAGCTTCAAGTAGTCGACCAGTGAGATCAACTCCAACGATGCCAGCTAATGTACCAGCTGTATTTGAAATTCCCATAATAATTCCAGCATACCTTGGAGCAATATCCATGTAATTAACTGCGAACCCAGATCTTCCTAACGCCAAGAAACCAAGAGCCACGGAGGAACAAAATAGAGCCCCGCCAGATGTTCTAAAGTAAGGAAGAGCCATCAATGCAAGAGAAGCTACAACAAAACCCACTGTGTTTAAAAGTTTTCTGGTTTTAGTTATAGACAAGATTCTCCTTGTGACCAAGTGATCCGCGATCACTCCACCAATGTTTGAGAATATAAACATGTTAAAGTAGGGCATCATCTTGGAAAAGCCCATTTCTTGAAGGCTGATCTCGAGACCCAATTCAAAGTACGTAGGAAGCCAGTTCATGAGCATATAAAGAGCATAGTCAAAGGTGAAATAATTCACAACAATTGCCCAAACTGGTAAGCTCATGACAATTCGTTTCCATGGGATAGTTGGACTTTTGGTAGAATGTACTCCATTCTCTACTTTCATCTTTGAACTCCCTTTCGTGGGCAACTGGGATTCCCCAAAGCCCGAAGCAGTTGCTTTTGGATGCTCAGCACGAGGTGGATCAACTGCATAACTGAACCAGAGTAGTGACCACATTGCACCTAAAGCGGCTTCAGCAAGAAACACAGATTGAGGACCCCTATACTTCACCAGACTAGGAAGCATAAGCATTCCCGTAGCTGCACCTAAGTACATTCCAGAAGTTGTGAAGGAAACAGATCTTGATCTTTCATGCGGTGGTACCCACTGTGCGAGGACAGTGTGGATGGACGGGAAAATGAAACCTTGGGCCACACCAACGAGCAAGCGGGCTATTACCAAGACCATCGTTCGGTTTGGGTCAAGTGGTACAAAAGCGCATGTCAAAGACCATAAGAGAAAAGAAAGGAGGAGGACACGCCGTCCACCAATTTTTTGAGCTGCCCAACCACCAGGTACTTGTGAGCATGCATATCCATAGAAGAAGGTTGATAGAATTACACCTTTGCTAGTCTGACTTACCCCTGCAGCATCAGCAGCAGCAGTATACGCAATAGAGAAGCCCACTCGCTCTATGTAGCAGACAGAAGTGCAGATGAAGGTCAAAACTACAATTAAAAAGCGCTTTGGAAATCGACTGCTGCCCATAATTTGCTAATTTGTAAATGCAAGCCATACACTAGACGGCTTGAATTTCTGTTGAGGTGATCCACTAAACCGTAATGTGCAGCAGGCTTGAAATAATAGACAGAAAGAAAGAATCAGATCAAAACATTTAGCTGATTTACTAAATTTAACAATATAGAAACCAAACATTAATGGTAAATCATGCAAAAGCAGCTCAAAGAGATTCCAAACAGGGGAATACCGGAAACAAGGGAAAACACAACTGAAACAAATGGTACAACTCATATCTTGCATTTGAACTCAACAATAACACTTCCAAAGAAATAACGTTCAAAGGATTGGCCATCATAAGAAGCTAACCACTACAAAAGGTCACATCTTCTAATCTAAAATTCATCTAACCATATCTTTAGCATTGTTAGAGATCAGTTCAATATACCACCAAATTAGTCCCCTAAGTTTCTCAAAATTTGAACTTTCCTACTTAAAACTTCAAAAAAATCTTATTCCATCCCCAATTAAACACATAGTTTCTAAAGCCAACCAGCGCAAAATGGTTAAGAAAGACGGACCTTGAGCTTAACTCAATCTTAAAGACTAGCTTATGAGCTAAGGACTGCGCAAGACCATATAATGAGACAAAATCGCATTCCTTCAACCAATGTGAGATATTCTAACAACCACACATGCTCAAGACCGGATACGGGGCCCAACATTATGAAATACAACAACAAGGATGGACATGGTTCTGGAGCTTGGACCTAACTCAACCTCGAAAATTAGCTCATGAGGTCAGCATTGTCCAATACCACGTAACGAGACAACAGCATATTCCTTCAACTAATACGAGACACACTAACAAGAATCGAACCCCAATTCCCTCTTCCAGCATTATATAAGAAGCAAGTCATTCAAATAAAAATGTTAGTATAAACAAGAAAAAGAAGCTCTTTAAAATAAAAACAGAAAGTGAAACAATGAAAAAGATCTTATCTTTGACACCAACTTTTCAACAGGTCAACTACATTTCCCCAAACCCCATCTTACCACAACCTTAAAATCTATGAAAGGGAAACCCCATTAATCAAATTAAGAGAATTTCATAATACCCACAAGCTAAAAGATACAAAAGAATTACTTCAACAGCACCATTAAGCTTAAGATTAATTACCAGAAATCAGAAGAACCTGGTAGTGGGTATTTGCAAGATTATGAACAGTTCACTGGAGATCAAGAAAACAGTGTCACTTCAATGGCCAAAAATCTTTAATTTGTTAATTCAAGCATTCTGAAGGAGGTGGTTGGGGAGGTCTGTACTGGGGGAGGTGTAGTGAAAATGATAAAAATAACCCCCTATGTTTGAGGTTAGGTTCAAAGTAGCCCATTAGTATATACAGAGTTCTCACCAATTTTTTGTTTTGTTTTTATAGTTCCGACAAATATAACACAAAGAGTTCATTAAATACTTAGAGGGTGTTTGGCTGAGATTGTAAGCTGGTCAAACTAGCTTATAAGCACTTTTCGGCTTATCTACGCGTTTGGTAAAGTTAAAAGTGTTTATAAGCTAAGTGCTTATAAGTCAAAAATAAGTCAAAAACCATAAGCTGGTCACCCCCAGCTTATAAATTTTTAGCTTATAAGTACTTNTTTATAAGCTAAGTGCTTATAAGTCAAAAATAAGTCAAAAACCATAAGCTGGTCACCCCCAGCTTATAAATTT